ATGACAATAAAGTCTTTCTAATTCTAATTCTGATGGTCAGGATCAGGGATATGGTGTTAGGGTTTGTCCAAGCTTTGCAGTGAAAGCAAGATGCTAGAAGAGCAGCAGCAGCAGCTTTAGTCCTATGTCAGTGTACATGCAAAATGCTTTCAGGCCCAGTACTGCTTGCCTTTATTTTGTCTCGTTTTCTGTGTGTAAGGTGGAAAGCCGGATTGGCGAGCCATTTTCTCCTCTGATCTGCCTTGGGAGGTAGTACCAGAGGGAAAACAAAAGGGAGATACACTCTTTATAGAAAGGGTGAGCAGCCAGTCTGGAACCAAGTGCTATGTTTCTATGACGCCTCTGACTCGAACTGTTCTCTGTTTCTCTCTAACTTATAGGTCAAAGCATTCCTGATGTCATAAATGTGTTGATTACTCACTTGGCAAGAAACACGGTAACCAAATTTGCGTGAAGTGAAATAAATGCTTGAGGAGCCAACAAAGCTGCATCTGCAGTTATTATTCCACTGTTGTTTTGTAGACTACTGGTGCAAAATTTATGTCACACTTGATGCCATCAAGTGACATCATATCACACCTCTGGTGTGGAATGCCAGCCTGCTGTCTGAATTCACAGCCTGACTCGTGATTATACTACCCTTAGCTTGATCTGTATGAACAGCACAAGGGCAGGATATTGGCGACCCTTTGGAATGACCGTAGTGTGGGATCTCATTGTAAACATCTTTTGAAAGCCTTGGGTTTGGGTTAGGGATACTACTGTTAACTCAACCTCTCTAAACCTTTTAATGATGCACACATGTATTGACTTCAATTGAGTGAAGCATAACACCAATAGAAAAAAATTGCTGTGACAGTAACAGCAATGTTGGAAACAGTGTCAGAGAGACGAGCATTCTGTTGCTGCACATTAAAACGAATCAGATCAGAAAATGTAGAAATTAACAATAACCTTCACATTATCACACTCCCCCTTCTGTTTGATATTTTCCTCAGCAGATCCTCTCATCCCAAATGACATTTAAGAGACGTTGTAGAGAGAGAAGAAAGGTCGGCTGAGAAAGATTGGGCTGTGTGAGGATAACGATAAATTTTTTTTAGAGGGTTTGAAGTGAAGTGAAAAGAAATGCTCACAAATACTCTTTTGGTTTTTAAGCTTTGGTATAGGGCACCAAGAGTATTTCATGTTAAAGTCAACTGATTTATTGTGAAACCTGCTTGTCCCAAAGATTTTTATCTCCTCCTTCCATTTTCTTTTATGCAACAGACCCACTATTAATTTATAAAGGCCACATACAACTCACCCAGCTTAATCACAACTGGAGAGCCTCATAAACAAGGTATTCATCTGGCCTAATTACAGCATTCCCTCAGCATTACACAAAGAAAAAATGGAGCCGGTGAGAGAAGACCCAGATGTAGAGATTGCAGGGTTAAGTTATGGAAATTCTCATCAGTCTGACCAGAATGTCAAGCCATATCTCAAACACCAACAATCTATCTTCAGTGCTCACTGTAAAAATTAAAAAAGGGCAAAAATAGTTTTCTCGTTTTGTCTGCAGATACTAATAGTGTTTACTTCTTGATTACAACACCAAAAATGAATGTCATCATTAATTCTTGTATGACCAAGTTGTTACTCTTCTTCATAATAGACTTTAGTTTTAGACAATAGTGGAAGATGAATTTCCAATAAAAGCCACCGCACATAAGATTTTTTTGTATGGATTTTAGAATCAGAATCAGAATCTGCTTTATTGGCCAGGTGTGTCGGACACATGAGGCATTTGACTCTGGTATATTGGCTCTCAGTGTGCATGTACATATACCCATGCAAGGGGCAAGTAAACAGTAAACCAACATAAGGCTAGTATAACAAAATAAGCAGTATTAACAAGCAACAAACCATGCGATCAATGCAAATTAAGCAGTATAAACAGACAGTAAACAATGCAGACAGACAAAGGGATGCTCATTGTGAAACAAGATAAATAGGAATAAAAATAGAGTACTTAAAAATAAAGACCTGCATGGATCTATATAATCTGTACAATGTATATTTACAGGTATTGCACTGAGAAAAGGTATTGCACTGAGGGTTATTGTCCAGTCATACTGTCGTGGGTCAAGTGTTCATCAGAGGGATGGCCCGAGGGAAGAAACTGTCCTTGTGCCTGGTTGTCTTGGCGCACACTGACCTGTAATGCCGTCCAGAGGGGAGGAGTTTGAACAGCTTATGTCCCGGGTGTGAGAGGTCAGCAGTGATCC